GGTTGGGGTGAGAAATCAGTGCATTTAGGCACATAGTCAAGACGGTCAAGATGACCCGCTAGAATTCTAGTCAAGCATCAGAATGGATGGGGAAGAAAGGTGATTTAAGTGGTTTGAGCGTGACACGGTTGTCGGTGCCTGACTGGCTGGTCTAAGCATTTCAGAAACTGCTGATCCACCAAGATTTTCCCACACATCCATTTCTAGTGTTTACAGAGACTGGTCCAAGAAAAGAGAGAATATGGACCCGGTATCTGGGCAAAAATGTCTTCTTGATGCCAGAGGTCAGACAAAAATAGACAGACTGTTTGAAGCCGACAAGACGCAACAACTGTAACTCAAATAACCACTCGCTGGAATCAGTTATGCAAAAGAGCATCTCTGAATGGACAACACATTGGTTTGAAGCAGATGGCCAACCGCAGCAGAAGACCACACCAGGTAAAAATTGGACAACAGAAAATGAGAAAAATGCTGTTTGGTCTAATGAGTCTTGATTTCTGCCGCAGCATTCAGATGGTAGGGTCAGTTGCAGAAGGCATATTTGTTGATCATGTCAATACCGTTCATGACCACAGTGAACCCACAGGATAACGTGCCATGTCACAAAGAGATCATCTCACAGTTACCAGATCTCAGTCAAGGGGATTCCCTCTTGGATGTTGTGATTTGCATCTTGGACATGCAGCAAACAATTCCCCAGCAACTGTGTGATGCTATCGCGTCAATATGGGCCAGAATCTGTGAGCAGTGCTTCCAGAACCTTGTTGAATCGTTGCTACAAAATGCTTAAAGCAGTTCAGAAGGCAAAAGGCAGCCCAATTTGATACTAACAATCAGTAACTGGGTGGTGAGTGTATTTTGTTTTAAATAAACATACGATTTAAAAGGTTTCTAACCCAACTGAGATGCAGCAGATAACGGCAGTCACTCATTCAGTGTTGTTTGCATGAATAATTCTAATAATCAGGCTGTTTTCTGTTTCCCTTCTCTTTAATTAATTAAGCATTTACCACTGACTGCTTTCACGTGAGATGTTTATGTAACACGATAAACTGTAGCTACACTAGGAATCACCAAAAGTCAATGTTCAAACTGTGGCACACTCTGCTGTGAGAGTTATAAAAGAAAAGCTTTCAGATTGAAGTCTCAAAGATAAAGCAAGTGTGATTTTGCAGCAGCCACATCACTCAGCATTAGTTCAAGGCTCACTTCAAGTCTTTGGTGTTTAATAACAGGCGCACAGCTCTCCTTTTTTCAACTTTAAGCCTTCACAGCATCTCCAAATTGTAGCTGCAGAAAAGTCTAAGTTGCACACACTTGCACATGCTGGCATACTGTGTAAATTACACAGAAGTTATGCTATAAAAAAAAGGGGGTTACAGAAAAGCCTTCTTCGTTTAATATTTAGTATCCTTGTAAAAATATCTATCCAACTGCACATGTCTCATAGCAGTTAACCGTTGAACTTTGGATGCGTGGCAGCAGAACGTTCACATGTCTGCTAAAAACCACGGATATCCCCTTTTAAATCGGGCACATCAAGCCACATATTTTACAGGATGTAGTCGCTTTGGTGATTCCATCAAATCGTGTCAAATGTCACTGATGAGAAACCAGATGGGTAAACAATAAAGATGAATATTTGTATATGCTTGGCATTTAAGTGCATCTTTCCTTCAATTCTAGAAAGATGTTCTATAAAGTTTCCTATACTTATCAAAGTGTCAAATCAAACATGAAACTTATGCTAAGTTAAGATATTTCTGTTTCCTATCTGTTAAAAATATCACACTAAAATGATCTTTATACATTCTTTGCATCTAGGGTTCAAGCTCAGTGCACAACAACCCGCTGCACACAGCTCTGGCACACTAAAACCACAAGCTATATTCTACCAAACAGCAAAGCGCACTTCCTGAATCACTCAGACTGAATGTAAACTGTGTTGAATCTGTGGAAGAATAGGATAAACACAACTACTCCTACACAATGTTCTTATTCTCAGTGGACAACTGTTTCTCATTTCTCTGGATATAGTTTTACCATGCACTGGTCCTAATATGAGAGTGCAGTAATCACAACCTCAATCGTGGGCAGCCTAACTTTATACTCCAGCAAACTTCCTCTCTGAGCTCTCTCCTGTTTGTCTCCATTCTGTCCTAAAACTACACAGGGGAAAAGATCCACTGACATCTCTTCCTGTCATCTACAGAGAGGCAGATCTCTCATTCCATCGCGATGACTGTGTAGTTAAGAGCTGGATTGGGAGGAACAGCAAAGGAGTCTCAAACTTCCTTTCTGCTGGGCCTCGTTTTCACCCCCCCAAAAAACACCACCCGAAAAAATGGAGGAAAGTAACTTTAAGCAGAGTTACTGTAAAATCTTTTATTCTCAGCTTAAACATCACATTCAGTCATTTTAACGTTTAACCTTTGCATGTAATCCAGTGATTGTCATCAACTGCCAGTAACCGTGACAGCACTGTGCCTTCTTTTCAAGACAAGCTTGGAAGGATTTATGGCTTACTCAATGCTGCTAACATGCATACCTACAATAGAAGTTGGTCAGAGGATGGAAAAGACAAATGAAATACTATTGCAGCTCACACATACGGTGCACAGAGAGTGGCCTTTGCTTCTCAAGAAGAAGAAGAAGGGAAAAAAAAATGCATGAAGATCTTGGTATGAGTGATGCACCCTCAAGAGATCAGCAACAGCACCCACTTGGAAAGAACCTGTGTCACTTTTACAACGAGCTGCAGCCAAAAGACACTTCCTGTGTGTGGATGTGTGTAAATCTTTGTAAGCAAATGTCTCATTCTGCACACTTCAAAATGAATGGACTTTTCACCTTAAAAGATTTGTTAGAAAAAAAAGGTCACAAGGCATATGCCAGTGGTTCAGGAAGTACCCACATCCTTATTTGGGTAAAAATAGCCACGCGTGAATGAATAAACCCTGTTTATGAAAGAAAATCTGTGTTTTTAGTAAGTGTGCAAAGATACTATCAGTAAAGCACTCTTTCTTTTTAAGTTTAGGAAGTGGACCAATGTTTTCTATCAATGTTACATTAAAATAAAATTGCAATACAGTGATACAATTAAGTGATACAATTTTTTAACTACTTCAAATGGGCCTACGAATGAGATGAATGTTTCTCATATTTATAAGATGATGATATAAAACATAGGATATGTTAAATCCTTATGAAACAACTACAGAGTGACCACTACTTGAGTTTTAGGAGGATAATAAAATACCACAACAAGCCACATTTGACACGTAACACACGCAGGGCAGGGAAAAGTAAGCACCTCTAAAATCAAGTCTACTAGATAGACCACAATTTTTGCTGTGGGCTATTTAAATTGGGCGTAGTGCTCAGTTACATAGAAATAGATTAAGGTAGTTCATAGTGTCCTGTGCCACAATATAACAGATTAGCTATGATAACAAAAACACGGCGAGTAATAAGAAACAAATACCGCAGTTAAAATCTGTAAATGTTGTTAATTCTGACTTAAAGATCAGGCCATTTGACACCTGTTCACATCTGGAAACACGTGGATTGATGTAAGCCGTTGTCAAAAGGTAACTTTTACAGTGTTACAGTGTTACAAGCTTCATAATAATAATTCAGTGAACAGAATAAAAAGAAAACATACCCACAACCATTACCTGTTTTCTGCTCGTGTTGTTTTTGTGTTTTTTAACTTGACAGATGTAAACGCCTCACGTCTCCCATATCAAAGACGGCTCCAAGCGCTTCTCATTGGTCCAAGTTTTGTCAACGATAGGTAGAAGAAAGCTTTAAAATGCCAACAGCTTCATTTCCCTCCGTCTACACGGCCCTAATGCAGATGTTTCCCCTCACAACTCTCATCCTTCGCCGCTTCGATGACGACTAAACGACGCTTTTGAGAAAAGTACGTCCTTTTTTTCCTTCACCCCTTCACGGCCCCCGAATTAAAGTTAAAAATCGTAAATACGCACACTTCTTAAAAGAAAAAAAAGGACGAAGGGTGGCAGCGTGGCAGAAGTGAAAATGAAAAGGCAGCTGGTTGAGTCCTGACAGGGGGACAAGCTGTAACTATCTCATCTCGGTCCAAATCTGCGCTGATAAACCGAGAACACAAACCGCCGTCTTTTTGGAACCACACTCCTTCCGCTTTCTGACTGTTCCCCGCCGAGTCCTCGACTCACTAAGTAAGAACACTTTGGGTCTTGTCTGCGTTCCTGATTTAAAGCCAAGATTGCAGATTTTTAAATAGTATACAGTTCTGTCCCACCCCTTATTGTCCCGCCGCACAGGGTCTGCTCGGCCTGGAATGTGTTCTCATAGCGGTTTTCCTGTTGCTTGCTAAACCTCTCATTTTCCTTTTCCCCTGTGTCTGCGCCGCACCGAAAGGAATGCGCTTCAAAGACCCCTCTATGATACAATAATATTATTGCAAGTGAAGCCAAGAAGAAGCTAGCGCTTATTTATCTATTTTATCAGCTGTTAAAAATCAAAATTCTGCTTTTGCAAGAGTTCAGAAGCCACTGCAGGGTTGATCCTAAACTTGAGATCAGACTGTTCTCAATATGTAACAGATGTCTGGTGTGTCTGTTTTCTTGCAACAACCAATTCAAAAAACCTTGTCAAAAATGTAAATATCAGGTCCAGCACTTCTTCTGTTGAGCAGTCTGTGAATACTCAATATTTAATGCATGACTTCCTGTCCACCTGGTGGCAGCACAAACAGGCTTTCACTACAACAGCCACATATTAGAAAGTTTTCAAGCTATGCTACTGTCCTGCAACTGGTGTATACATCTATCTTTGAAATATGTAACTTTAATTAAATTTCAGTTTCATTTATATAGCATCAAAGCTACTGTCACCCTAAGCTTTATATTGTAAGGTAAAGGCCATACAACAGTTAGCAATAGCGCCCTATGAGCAAGCACCTGGCGAAAGTGAGAAGGCAAAGCTGCTTTTTAACAGGAACCAGGATCAGGAAGGGGCGGCCGAGAAGAAATAGAGGGAGATGAGACACAAGAAACCCAGCAGGCCTATTGCAGTGTAACTAAGGGAGGTTTCGAGTCATGGCGATCCGGCCTGGCTGAAAATTTAAGTTTTAAACCTAATGTTAAAAGTAGAAATGGTGTCTGTCTCGAGACCGCCCTACCGTAGTTAGGGCTGAAAACAAAGAGCTCTATTGGGACAATATGATGCTATGATAAAATGCATCACTCTGTTTTGGTCTCTGCTGCTTTTTGACAGAAATATGTGACTCTTTAGCTGCTAAAACATGGTTTGTTATGTACTGTCACCTCACAGCATGGAACGCACGATCTGATATCCTCGTGTTGGTGTTGTTCCCAGATCATCATACTAAAGGTTGTTCCAGGATCAACATTGCAAGTGACCAATCAGAATGTTGTGATGTCATACTTTTGCGACTTCGGGAAAAACCGGCGTAAAACAAAAAACTGTACTTAAGCTGCGAGAAACCGCCTTTGTCCGCCGATCAACGGACCCTAACCCTTTAATAAACACTAAGCAGAATTGATATTGTCCTTGCAACATTGGAATTTCATAAATGCACGAATGGGTTGGTGCGCAAAAGAATAACGTCACAATAATGTGATTGGTCACTTGCAATGTTGATCTGGGAACAACACCAACACGACGATATCAGATCATCCGCATGGAACAATCAGCTGGCTGAGGCCTCTCTGTGTCACCTGTGCATGTTCTCCTTGTGCCTGCATGGATTACCCCTGATTCCTACTACAGTCCAAAGACAGGTTCATTTTAAACTCATCAGTGATGAGTAAATGTTTTCTTGCATGGTTTCTCTGTGTTAGCTCTGTGTTACACTGTTGGCTCGTCCAGGGTGTATCACCAACGCTTGTATTTGTGATAGGCCCTGACCCCAACATGGATAAACAGTTTAAAAAAGCAAGGCTTTATGAAACTGGTTGTTTTGGCAAAAAAAGAATGCAAAGTGAAAATATGAACATGCTTGATTTTATCATCATTTTTCACTTCTAATTACCACATCGTAATGTTTTTCAGAGAACAATGGCTAGCAAACCTATCTCGAGATTCAGAGATATGGTGAAAAACATGATTTGACAATGAACAACTAGAGCAGACTGTGGACGAACTCAGTGCTTTCAGGGTTGCTTGGACAATGGGGCACCTTGATCGCTTGAGTGTTGAGAGTTAACAGACACGTTGAACTCTGCATATGCATCTTTATGCGTCATGCAAGTCAAACTTTAAGTAGCAATGAGCAAAACAAATTGTTAATGGAAGGTGACCTTAAGATATATGTTTCCTTTAAGAAATATATCTTAAATATTTATATATAATAATGTATGTGGTGGGAATTACTGTGTGGATTACATGTCCACTCAAGCTGGGTATAGCATATTTGTGGTCAGCAGTCATTGTGTGTCTTAAGTGGCAAATACATTGCTGCCAGAGAGGCTGCGCTGTGTGACATTACTTCCTTCAACAGCGCCTGAGAGAGATGTCTTCATGTCTGTAATATGAATTCCCCTCCTGGTTCCCAGGCGTCATAATCTCTCCTTTTTGGCTTACGGCAGCAGACACAGCTGGAAGCTCTCACATCAGCTGTCATGTAGAAGAGAGCAAATTGTTCTTTTTGAATTCAGCAGTTATATTTTCTTTCCCACTAATCCCAGAGGTTTGAAGAGCTTGTTTCCTCTGGGATTTTCTTAAAGAGTCTCTGTTTTTTGAATAATCTAGAGTACGGGAAGTGTTAGTTGATTTTAAAAAAGAAGCAAATTGTTGATAAAGAAATGACCTTTTTGACTTGCTCATTTATATCTTTGAACAGCCAATAGCTTAGCCACAGACAGCAGGGTGCACACAACACATAAGCTAAAATGTTGCGTTAACTTTGGTCATAGTTGCCTTCACAGGGAGGTACTGCGTTCTGAGAGTTTTACTGCTGAACAATCCAAACACCCTGATCCAGTTTATGTGTATAAAGATTAGAGGTGGGAATCACCATACATCCCACGATAC